GACTGACATTCGCGGCGTTGCTACTATTAGGTGTAGTATCCATTGAGAGGCCTAAGAGGAAAGCGCATTCACGATGTGCTGGTTCCTATACAAGAGGTCGATCCTAGTATGTAGGTCTCCTTTTGCGTACTGTTCCGCGAAAGCCATAAATTCCGTCATATTCTCGTTCAAGGTTACCTCCGGCCGCAGGGCTCGGAGGGACGAGTGTTGGTTGCGCGGTGGGCTGGGGAAATATTGCTTCTGCAATGCGCGGGTTCTGCCACGTGGGACGCAGTGGAGGGAAAGAGGAGGTTTGCGCTTGGGCGCCTTGGGGCAACCTAAGTAGATAGATATGTGTTTTTCCGACTAGCAGAATACGCTAAGGAGAGAAATTGCTAAGGAGCGTCTTATCCCTGGATCTGGGACAATCGGGGGTGCCATGATCGCCTGGCACTTGACGCACCTGGGCTTGGCGAAGCAGTTGCGTGCCGCGTGGCCATACAACTAGCACTTGTGGCACTGTCCGGGGAGAGATCCCTTGTGAGGGGGTTCCACTACAATATTGGCGAGGCCAAGAACCGACTTAAGGTCGAAAATGGTCTTAACTTCTGGGGTGAGATCGAGGTGGACAAGGACCATGTCAATCGGCCTTTTCATCCGCTTACATTTCACTGAATCTACAGGGAGGTTTTGAGCCTTAAGGGTTTCCAAAACCTTTACGGTGGCGATGTTCCTGGGTATTATCTTTATAACAACAATGATGGAGCAGGGATGGGCTCGGTGGGCCCTGTCTCTGCCCTTTCGGACGGCCTAGGTGCTTTAACCGGCACGGGGATGGAGCCATGGACGACGGCTGGGAATATCGCTTCTTCCTCTTCTTCTTATTCACTACTTCGGTGAATAAGCCGCCTTCATTAGAGGCGTCGGCATCGGTGGAGGAGAGAGGTGTGTCGAGTTCCATCTCCTCTTGGGAGGAGGAACTTGCTGAGGCTTCAGCAGAGGATGAGGCCCTTGAGGAAGGCCATGATAACTTCTTGAGTGCCTGAAGGGCATCTGAAAAGGCTTCGGGGTGCTTCGCTTGGAGGAGTCCAAGGATGGCCTTTATTTCGGCCATTGCGGGATATAAATTTATACTAATATCATAAATCCTAAAGGTCCCGGTGTGCCTAAATTGCGTAGGCACTTTTCGGAGTAGTACTTTATTGCTGCTGCAAGTAATGCGTCGATAATAAGCGAAAATACTAGACTTCTCTCAGTTTCATTTTCCAGTCTTGGACGTAAGACGTTGAAGGCAATTGGATTTACTTCTTCTACGGGAAAAAAGTTTTGTGATTTCGGAGTCGTGAAAATCCCTTGAAATAGCTTCGCTTACATGATCCATTATGCGAAAAATATTATGTTCAACTAAGGCGGCTACAAATGAAATCGCGAGCAATGTCCAGTTCCGCGGTCAATTCGAAAGGTCGGAAGGTAAGGCCAAATTGGCCTCAAAGAAGCTTGGCGTGCTCAGCAAGGCGAGGTAATCACATACATACATCGGCTCAACGTTTAAAACTTTATAAGGCGCAAATTCGGCTCCACATGGGAGTACTGTTCTCACCTCTGGGCGGGAGCCCCCTATTGCTAGCTTCATCCATTTGACCACATTCAACGTTGGGCGGCTAGGGTTATCGACGATCAAAGTCTGTCCGATCGGCTTGATCTTTTGGCTCTGGGTAGAGATGTTGGATCACTCAGTATCTTCTACCGCATTTATCACAGTGAGTCTTCAGAGGAATTGTTTAGGTGATGCCGGCGGTTGAATTTCACCATCGGACATCGCGCCAAAATTAAAAATTTCATCGACACCACCTCGATGTCCAGCGTTCCACAACAGCGCGATCAAGAGTCAAGGCACTTCCTGCCTCGCACAACCACTCTGTGGAACCAGCCGTCGCTAGTTGTCTTACCAAACCGTTACGACCTGGGAACCTTCAAGAGAAGAGCGTACTCTTTCCTAAGAGGACAGCAACACATTTGTAAGCCTGCGGGTGGCTGCCTGGTGCTGCAGGTGTCCATAGGCGGCGATGAACATACGTTTGCCCCGTTTTCTAATTAAAAAAATAAATTAAAAATCGTATCGATCAAATCAAATTCAACGGTGGTAGGGCCACGCAGCAGCCTCGGCTGTTGCACAAATGAGAAGGCTCGTCCGGGTAAGTACCACGACCTCGCAGAAGACCGGCGTAAAGTGGAAGTATAATACTTTCGCGTTTCGTCTGGTGAGTGAGGTAGCCGGAGCCCATTATTCAAAAGGTTGTCAACGCATCTGCAAACCCTTGGGTGTAGCAGATGTACATGGGCGGTGGTATTTACTTAACATCAGGTGAACCACCTGCTCGCTTGGCATTTTTCACATAAAAAAAACCAATGAAGTTAAAAATAAATATACAGGACATTTCAAAACGCTATATAGTATCAAAAACTAAGCAATTTTTCATAGCATCAAACATTAATAAATACATATAGTTGTTTAGTAACTGTTATGTAATGCGTAGGTAAGAAACGTACATAAAACAGCGAATGTTTGCTTTTGAGTGGAAATCAAATTCATAAACTTTAGAACATAATACGGATTACGGGTTCATACTACTGCATAGGTTGAAAGTATTAAAAAAAGTCTTGACAAGAATAATTAACAATTCCACATATTAACGTAAGTAACTTGCATACCTGAGAAATGCTGGAATACTCTTTTATATTTTTATATGCTTTGATGTAGCCATGAGTTTCTTCAAAGACGCCACTCTATGCTATGCTTTACAATGAGTACTCGTAGTGTTTACCTTAGATTTACATAACCAATTATAATAAAAGAAAAGCGTGAATTCTACTAAAATACACAAATTTTTATATAAGTACTAAATTCTTTTGCCGGTACTTCAAAATTTACCAAAAAAGTAGAAATCTATTTTTTTTATAGTGCTAATATCTGCACTTAAGATTGAACATTAAAATATGTAGAAAAAGTACGAAAAGATGGTCGCTACTATGGGAGTCGAACCCACGTCTTCGGCATTCGCGGCCTGACGCTTTAACCACTAAGCTAAACGGCTGATTGCCACACCGACGAAAATCTTAACGTCTTTTGTCTACATTGTAGATAGAGTAGTTAATTTAAAAAAAACAATACACATGCAAAGCGCCTGGGTCAGATAGAATCACCAATAAAGGAACCAAACTCCTTCCTGCTAGTATCATTCAGATAGATACTAGTAATCATCTACAAAGCGTAGGCTCTTCCCGTCCGAATGGTAAGAACCCGAAGTCATAGGGTTCCTCAAACTCTCGAAACACGCCTCCCAACTTCATATCGCCCAATTACTCGTCTTAAACGTTTGGGAATATACTTGAACGGTTTGAATTTTAGCCCGCTTATGGGTCTTTACGGACTCTCGAGGGATCCCCTTCCAGAGTAGTTTGGCTTCAGAACTAAACACTCTTGTACCCACCAAGTGCACGGCACCACGGAACATATATTAGTTAAGCGCCAACGCGGACTCAACACCGGAGTACTCTTCCTCGACATAGCGAATACATAACCCACCTTCAATTTGCCGACTATAGTCGTCGATCGAATCAATTAGCGCGCGCTTCCCCAGCTTCCGTCCTTATTCAACGAAATCACTCCCATAGATATCAGGAAAGGAAGGCGAGAAAACAGATGTTACACGTTGAAAACAGATTTTGTTCCGTCATGGTCATATTATACCCAATGAAATACGGCAGAACATTTCACACAGCTTTATTGTCTTCAATATTTTAATTTAAGTTAAAAATAAAGATCGAAGAAGTTCATATTTAATTATTGTAATTGAAATTGAGAAAAGATTATCTTTTATTTTTAAACTAGAAGAATCCTTTAATTCATTTCATTGTTAATTTTAGAACGGATATTACAGAGCCAAATTAAATTTTCAGTATCCACGTCTTAAAAAAATTTTTCCTTCCTAATTTTTCTGAATTGAAGTGTTGTCACAGTTTTATAATATTTTTTTAACGTTTTATTATGTAGGATATAAGTAATCGAAGATTCTATTGTATTCTGTAGATTGTAGACTGTTTAGTTATCTGCCATGCTAATAATGCATTGAAAGATTGAATGGAATGACTTTTCATGTGAGACCAATCTTATTGAAGGCGCAAATTATCGAATGTAATGTGAACGTTTAACAAAAACCAAAATATTCTAGAAAAATAACAATGGCTACACGAGGTGAAAGAGGTGTTAGTAGAGTATTAGATAAATTGGAAGCATCAATAAACTCAGGTCAATACTATGAAGCACATCAAATGTATAGAACCTTATATTTCAGGTAAAGATAGTGTTTATTAATATTTTCAATAAGTTTTAATTTGTATTTTTTTTGGAGTGAGCAATAATTACTTTGCAGATATTTAAGTCAAAAAAAGTACGAGGATCTTTTAAATTTATTATATAAAGGATCAACTTTACTTTTACAAAAAGATCAACAAGGCAGTGGTGCAGATTTGGCTATTTTACTAATTGACGTTTTGACAAAGTCTGAAACCAAACCATGCGAAGAATGGATTGAAAAAATAGCGAAATTATTTGAACTAATGAAATCTAGCATACCTGAACGCGAAACATACTTAACAAATGCAGTGAAATGGTCAATGGATAGTAGTAAAAAAGGAAATCCACTATTACACAAAGTAAGCTGATTATCTAAACTAAACTTAAATTATATCTAGATTAAACAGATTATTATTGATGAGTGATTGATTAGTATTATTTGTGTCCAAAAGTTATAATTCTTTTTTTATTTTAGAAGATAGCAGAGGTGTATTGGAAGGAAAAGAAATACACAGCAGCTCATAAACATTTTCTTCATTCATGTGATGGAGCAGTATATGCAAATATGCTTATTGAATTGCACACAACAAAAGGCCTGAAATCAGAGATAGATTTATTTATAGCACAAGCAGTGTTACAGTTTCTTTGCTTGAGGAACATACAAATGGCTAATGAAACATTTAATACATATACAGGCTTACATCCTACAATAAAAAATGATAAAGGTCCACCATATTTATTCCCCTTACTAAATTTTCTGTGGTTTTTACTTCGTGCTATAGAACAGTAAGTATGGTTTCATTTGATGTGTAATTCATAGAAGGATTAGTGTGTTGAACTTGCATTCATTTAAATTAATTTAAATTGATTACATTTGGTGATTGGTGGTAAAAATCTTGTTTATGTCATTGCATATTTCAATTATAAATGTGCAACATCATACTGTTGCTTAATCCATAATACTAGTATTACTTGTTTCAGGAAACATACAAACCAGTTTAAAGTACTGAGAAACTGGTATGCTATCAGCATAAAAAGGGACCCTAACTATTCCATATATTTAGACAACATTGGACGTATTTGGTTTGGCATAGAAATTCCACAAGATACTAGGAACCCAAATTCTATGCTTAATGGACTCCTTAAATCAATAATTGGAGACCTTGATAGTTCCGATGAAGATGGTGACTTAAATGAGCGTAACTCAACAGCACCAGACTTAGATTAAGATATTTATATATTAAATACTAGAAATAACTTACAACTTGCATTTTGTATGCTTATGTTAAACTTTAATGCATCTTTATTCTACCTGATTGAAAACAAAATTTAGTTATTTCAATCAAAGTAACCATTTTTTATTCATATTTCAGTTTAATATTCATTCAGCGCCACTGACTCGCCCTGGGAATTTTATTCCAATGCCAGTGTAATTGAATGTGTCAAATCTAAGATGTTTACTTTTATCATAACCTTATTAGAGTTGAGTAGAACAACTCCCTAACTAAATAGTTGTTCAACTGTGACTGTCAATTACTGTCTTTATCAACCGAAGGAATCACAAGGCACTTTTAAGTTATATCAAAGATTAAAAAACATAGTATAATGTTGAATACCATCATCAACTGAAATAGAAAGGCTATGTCTAAGTTTTCATGTTTTGTGACTAAAATTTGTTTGTACATAAATAATATTTAATATAAATTATTATGAAGAGAATTCAAACTGACAATTAGTAGTATCAACTTTAATCAATGTGTTACACTTTTTTGTATACTGTATAGTTTTTCATTATTTTTGTTAACCATGAAGAAGTGTACCTATATTTTAAATGGTATTTAAAATAAAACAATTTAAGCATTAGTGTAACATATTTTTGTCTTATATTAATTTTACAGTTTACAAGCCTTTGTTTTATAGCAAATAAGTAAATAAAAAAGAATGTTAAATTTGTGTTTATGTAATGATTTTCAATTAAAAAATATAAATTCAATCATAAGTGATAGAAGTATTAATACTAATAAAATACTGTTTGTATTGTCAGTATAATGGTTATACAGCGTGTCGTTACCATCGCGACAATAAATGAACAGGGGATAACTTTTTAAAGTTGTATTAAACATTTAAATTCTTTAAACAATCATCAATATTTACGGAGTTATTAAATTTTCCAAAACAAAGAATTTTAGAACACCCTTACCTATAAAAGCGTAACGTAATGTTCTTTTTGTAAAGGTCACAAAGCATATGAATGGGTTGAATGAATGTAAAACAGACAAAACATACTGTTAAAAGGAAAGGCTTTTAATACGACGCTGTGACGCGAGTTGTATAGTATGATACAAATTTTGTTTCTTTTTTACTTAATTAGTTTGTTTGAAAAATATTTTTTTTTAATTATGGATTTTGTTTAACGTTAATATTTTTTTATGATTATTGGCAAGTAGCGTTAGACGTGTGTTCATTTATTGTCGCGATGGTAACGACACGCTGTATGTTATACCTATAGTAGATATAGATATAGCTTCTCTACATTTCTAAATAAGAAGCCTCAGCTTATTTGATTCTTTATTATAATCGTTAATATAAAATGTCAATAATAGTAATGAATACACACATTTCTATTTATCAGTTATATTAGGTTTTTTAATAAGGAAAGAAAGTGTTATAACAAATTTGTAAATGTATGAAATGCAAAGATGCAGATACAAATTGAAAAATCACCTTTGGAAATAATTTCAATTTTATTTTATTTACATATACACAGAAATTATTGGTAACAAGAACAAACCAGACTTCAAACATCTCACTCTATAGTTATTTTATATTTGATTTTCAGGAGTTTCTTGAATTATCCAAGATGCCCAAGATCCAATACCAATGAAATAAATGTGGGATCACATTGGAGCTAAACAAAACCAAATACAAAAAGAAATTTTAAAATAGGTTCATTAATGTTGTTTAAGAAATTTTTAAATTTTATAATACATTATATTTCTCTAAACAACTCAGTTGGCAACCCAATTCTGAAGTTACTAATATAAACAAATCGAAAACCTCCTATTTGAAGGAGGTTGAAAATAATTTAATCATAAATCATTTTTGTAACAAAATTTAACAAGATATAAATGCAAAAAGTATATATATTTATCCCTAATGTACAGATTTACCAAAGGCAGTCACAATTCATCTAATACAAGATTTGTTATTTCCCTAGAGAATGTAGAAATTGTAATTTTATCCTTTAGAAGGCATAGCTTGATTTTCTTCTTTTTAAGGTCCAATGCTTGTTTAACAATAAAACGATTGAACTCATGAACATGAGGATGATTTAAAAATTCTTCTATATCCATCCATTTACATGCTTCAATTTCTTCATCCGATTTTTTTATTTCATTAGAAGTTGCTTTAAGTGCGACAACTATATAGATGTCAGAGTTTCCAAACATCATTTTATGTGTATGCCGCAATGTTATCATAGATTCGAAAACTGCATCTATACCCGTTTCTTCCTTTACTTCTCTTACCGCAGCTTCTTTAATATCTTCACCTGCAATTATGAAAATTTGCAACAAACTAAAAACAATGATTAATACAATTTTAATATTTTAATGGCGTTTATGTTGAATAATAGGTATATGATTTACTTACTGAATAATAGTGTTCAGAATTTCATAATAAATAGTGAATAATTTCCTTTTAAATTTAGTAATAAATTACATTTACTAAACCTAATTAAATGTAGTTAAAATTATGACTATAAAATTCTCCATACAAACCTCTTTCAACATATCCACCAGGCAATTTCCAATGAGGATAGTCGTAATGTTGTTCAGTTACCACAAGTATTTTATTATTGTCATTGAAAACTAATCCACCTACTCCAATATTTGTATAGCATCCAGGGGGTAAATTGGGTGCACTCTTTTTAGGTAACCATTTGAACATCATTACAAAACTGTCTCTTGAATGGTGAAAGTTAAAGCCTTCCTGTAATTAATGTATACAAAAGAGTTGTAATATGTAGTAAAATACCTCACTAATTTTAAAAAACATTGTTGTATAATCCATACAAGGCAATGTTATTTACTATACTTTCTATTCATAATTAATCATTTGAATATAAATCATTATACTACTTTTAACTAAGAAATAATTTTAAGTGTTTTTATAAATGAAACTAATTTTACGGATTTATCGCGTTTATTTTTAATTTTAATTCCCGACGTTTCGAACCCTTTACAGCGTTCATGGTCACGGGACAGACTGAGGTGTTAGACGTCAGTTTTTACCATCTGTCAAGTGTAATATCCCTCTGCAAGATCCAGGAGTGTACAAACTTGACTGTGAATGTGGGCTCTCTTACATAGGTCAAACGAAAAGAGCAATAAAAACCCGCGTGAAAGAACATATAGCTGACATCAAACACAATAGATTGAACAAGTCTGCAGTTTGTGAGCACATTTTGAATAGACCCAACCACTACATCAGGTTTGACAAACCACAGATCCTTGCAAAAGAACACCGATTCCTCCCAAGGATGATTCGCGAGGCTATTGAAATTAAAAAACACCCTAATTTCAATAGAGAAGAAGGTTGGGTACTACCATCAGCTTGGGATCCTGTCATCAATAAAATTAAATCTAGGCCCAAACGAACCACTACTGCAAGACAAGATACAATTAGCTCCCTCTGCATAGATCGGACACAAAATTAATAATTCAAAAACTGACGGTAGCCCGGGTTAACTATGACAATCAGACGTCTAACACCTCAGTCTGTCCTGTGACCATGAATGCTGTAAAGGGTTCGAAACGTCGGGAATTAAAATTAAAAATAAACGCGATAAATCCGTAAAATTAGTTTCATTTATAATGTGTAATCGCGTAAATACAAGAAATTATTATTTAAGTGTTTTTATTTAGTTCTATAAGTTTCTACACAATCTATCAAATAGGCGGACAGTTCAGTGTTCAATAAATATATGCCATATGAATGCTAAACCAGTATGATAACTTATGAGTCGAATAGTATTAATCAGCAAGAAATTGCTATATAAGTACAAATCTTATAAATTACCTAAAAACGCTAATAATTCATGAGTTTCAGTTACCACAAACAAGTATATTCAGTACTACTAAATCTTAATGGAATGTTTTTAGGACAGCAGCATGTTTAATACTTAGCATACTGCTGAACCTATATTATGAGCTGTTACCATAATAATTATATTATTAAAACAGTGTCAAAATTTACTAAACTAACTTTAGCAAGAGCAGGAACCCAGCCAGCATCTTTTATGTCAATTTTAAACCATATGCATCTCCTACCCTGACTCTCCCACTTCTTTAGTGAATCTGCAAATGAAAGATAAAATAATATAAAAAGCAATAATCATTACTTTTTATAATTACAGAAACACTGAATATAAAAAGCAATGATTTATGCAGGTCATTATGAAAAAATTAAATATATAATGTATAAAAATGTTTCTATTGGTCTGAGGACATAAAAAAGTAAAAAAAAATTAAATATTACTTGCCTGTTAATTGATTTATGAATTGATCTGTTTCACATGGTTCTTTTTGTGAGTCCACAGTAATACCATTATATCTATCCAGAACTCCTTCAAATAGTATTGTATCCATATTTGTTATATATTTATAATGTACGTAAGTTTTCCGAGTCAAAGGTCAATGTCTCTTAGTGATTTTTATTCTACTTTATCGCAATAAATACGATTATTGATGCTACACTAAATTTAACATAATACGTAGCATATAATATTTTACAAGTGTTGAGATCAATAATCAGTATTTTTTGTTAGAAAAGTGTTTGTTCTACGGAGCACGGGAGCAATCACATTAATGATTTAATAGTCAGATATTTCAAAGACCGTTTCGTGATCATGAAACACATCTGATAACATATATAGAAAACTGTGATAATATAACATCTTTAAAACTCTGTAGCATAGATAAGACATATATACTGAAATGAAAATGAAAATGCTGAAACTGACTGAAATGAAAATGCTCTGTAAGTTCCCTTCAAACCTAAACGTAAACCAAAGTATACCCTTTTAGTTTCCCTATATACCAAAGTACTCTGTGACGTAAACTAACGTAACGTAACGTAACTAAACGTAGTGATTACATTCTCTTTGGTTCCCTTGACAGTAAACAGACAGAATACAACTTTCCGTAATCCGTACCATAGTAGGCTGTAGGTATTACTAACTATAGAAATAATTTAATCACTACCTTTACTGATTACTATAAAATAATATGAAACTGTTTTCGTAATACATAGTATTATCGATGAGGTGAATTCTGAAACGTAGTAAGTAAATACTTCTTGCTTCTCGGTCTGTTAAACAGTAGATACCTATATAATTATCGATATTCGATATATCACTATATTCCTAAAAAACCCGACATTTGTTTTGTTTGTTGTTGAAATCAGAGAGAAAGAGAATGTAATCATTTTTTTCGAATGAAAGTAAAATCTATTTATAAAATTAGGTTTAAAGTCCATTGTAAAGGAGTTTTTTTTAGTTACCTTATATATATAAGACCATAAAAATTAAGACGTAATATGTACATCGTACTACATAATCTGAAATTATATACAAAAAATTGTCCAATAAAATTTTGGCTGAATGTTAATCACTGCTGTCAGTAGTGTCAGTGTCAGACTGTCAAGTGTCATACCATATAACCAATTGATCCATATTCCATACAATTACAAAGATTTTAATTCAATGACAGAAGTCAGTGTATATATTTTTTTCCTTTTTTTTTACTATACTTGTATATTCTACATTGAATAGATTTAAAAATAATTACGTATAATAAATAAAATCTTAAGACTAATTGTTTCGTGTTGTGTTGTTTCTCTCGAATGAATGAGCCTAACCTATTAAGAAATAACATAGTACTTCCTTTGCTTGATTTTGATTAACGATAAGCTTACGAAATCATGTCTATTAAATCTATTTATAAGTCAACCTTATTCAAGGGTAAAATGAATAATCTGTTGTTTATGTCCTTCAGGTAAAGAATTCTAGGTAATAGTCGTATGCCATAAATAATTTCATGAAATAACAAGGGGCTTAAAGTATATTATTTTTATTACAGAAAATATTGCAATAGTTCTCACAAAAATTCATCGCAACATCCATTATTTGTTGGCGACACTGATAGATTCAATGGTATCACCATAAATACAGCTGAAGAAAAATGCGATTTAAAATATTTTACAAAAAAACTCCAAGGTTAGATTGTAAAACTAGCAATGGTAACGATAATTTCATGCTTCGCCATTTTGTGAATCATTCTCGCTACAAATACTTGTATATTAAAGTAAGAGTGAGTTAGTACATGTATATTATTTCCAGCCTCCATAGAAAAATGGTTTTCAGATGGTAGAAGATGCATTTGGTTCAAAGTGAATATAAAACAGTCTGCATATGTACCTATTTTAGCTGATGTAAGTAAATTTGGTGTTATTATGTCATAAATTCTATTTTCAAGCAATTAAGTTTAATGATTTTATTCCACAAACTGATAAATAACATTTTTAACAAAGGCTTGGTATCCATAGAATGGATTTAATTTTCATCATGCCAGAGATAACTATGTGATGATGTACAAATGGCTTCCACTTGACTCTGAACCTAATCTACCGCCTGCGTGTCATACCAATTTAGGAGTTGGGGCCTTGGTATTCAATGGTAAGAATGAACTCCTAGCCATATCAGAAAAACATTATCAATATCCTCACTGGAAACTTCCAGGTGGCTATGTAGAAAGTGGTGAGTAAAATAATTAGTTTGTCTTAAAAATATCTTAAAATTAGTAAGCCTTTCTTTTAATTTGGTCTTTTTAGTAAGAAGTATCAAAATGTTATAATCAATGGCATAAATTAAATAATTCAATATTTAAGAATCAGTAGCAATTTTATTAATTTTCAGAAACATTTAAACAAACATCTTAATTTTAATATTTCCAGGAGAAGACATTAAGGATGCTGCTGTAAGAGAAGTAAAGGAAGAAACCGGAGTAGATTCTACATTTCTCTCATTACTTACTTTTCGACATCAACATAATATGATGTATGGAAATTCAGATATATACATGCTTTTGGTGATGAAAGCTCTTTCAGAAAAGATTATATTGTCGCAGAGAGAAGTCAAAGATTGCAAATGGATGAGCATAGAAGAGTATGTTAATCATCCTCACGTTCATCAATTCAACAGAATTGTTGTTCAAAAAGCGATTGATTACAGAAATAAAAAAATAAAATTAGATTTAGAAAAAAAAATAGTTAAATGGTCACAACTCACTAGAGAAATGACATACCTATCTGTAAATGATTATGACTACAATTAACTAGCAATAGGTATGAGTAAATATAATATACAAATGTCTGCTTAGTATTTTTTTTTATTAAATTGTTAACAAAAATGTTTGCCTGTTTATTAATTTCACCATGTTGGTCAAGTTCGTAAGATATATCTCGACAAGTAATGGATTATTTACTTTTTTGGGCATGAAGGAAATGTCCATCATTACAAAGATAGTTATTTATGCATAATTATTAAATCAACTGGAGATTTTCTAGTCTATGCTACTCACCTTTGGGGTGGGGCTTCGGAAACAAGTGTGGAGCACTTGTGGTTTCCCTAGATATCTCGAAAGCCTCGACGGGGTCTGCCACGCCAGCCTGCTCAGCTAGCTTCCAGCGTACGGCATTTATATCCAGTAGTTGTCGAGGGCTGTTCATCCGACCCGTTGGTAATGCTCGAGTTCCTCAGGGGTCCATCCTTTCCGCTATTCTTTTCTTGCTGCATATTAAAAATCTGCTCAGGCCCGGTGTCTTTGGGTACGCAGATGATAGGACAGTTGTGGAGAGAAACCAACAGAGTTTTCGGGTCAATAGAGATCTCATCTAGCCCGAATGAGAGACCTTGTTTGAATCCTATATTGCAGGCAGTTTTTGAATGGGGTGATGCCAATCTTGTTATATTCACACCCCTAAAACGCAGGCTTGTCTCTTTCCACAATAAGAAGCCCCTTTACCATGGCTATTACCATCCGGAATGTGACCTTGGATTTTACCGACTGCCATCAGTTGTTAGGAGTCGAAATATCGTCATACCTCAACTTTGGTCGGTTCATTGAGTCTAAAGCCAAAGCAAGGGCAAAGCCGGATTTAGAGGAGGGCAAACGGGGCTACAGCCCCGGGGCCCGCACAATAGACTTCCGAAAAATAAATTCAAATTCAGACTAGTAAACAATTTATCCTTTCATGTTTATACTTGGTTTCACAATAAATTATTTATTAGAAAATTCGACTGAAAAAAATTGTTAATTTTATTTGACTAATAATTTCGGGCCCACCTCTTAGTTACCCCGAGGTCTCCAGACCTCCAAATTCAAATCTGAGCAACGGGCAAGGAAGTTAGGCGTTCTTGCAAAGGTGCGATGGTACTTCACACCGTGACAGCTTTATAAAGATGTATAGAGTATACTCTATACAAAGCTTAAGTTCGATCATGTCCCACTGCTGGACAAAGGCCTCTTCTGTACAGAGGGTATCAGGGGATAGTCCACTACGTGGCTCCTCTGTGGATTGGCCGATGTCACATATCTTCAAAATATTATTTTGTTATTATTTCGAAAATATGCAGGTTTAATCACGATGTTTTCTTTCTCCGCTAAGCGCGTGACGAGTCAGCACTTAAAATTAACAATTTCATTGGTTCCGGCACGTCCTTAGAATTATTGGAGAGGCGTACGCAAAGGCTCACTGCTGACCGTAACTTGGCTTAAACCAATGTCACTAGCCTCGAGCACAGGCGCAGAGAGTGTGCGTTGGAGAAAATAAAAAAGGGGCGAAGGGAATCACTGATTACGCGTGGCACTCATGGATATACTCTGTATATACCTTGAGAGCTGTGGTCAGTGACTCCAATTCTGAGCTCACACCTCCAAGTTATGCCCCTCGGTAATTCCTGTGCAAAGCATTAGGACAATCTTTCAAATTGTTGTGCATAGAAGGCCTACGCGACGCCGATTTCAGGAATTGTGCGATGGTGGGCAACTCTAAATCGACATGTAGTTCGATATTGCGCATGAACCAGGGTGCTCCCGTAGCTCTGCGCAAGAATCGATTCTGAATGACCTGAAGCCGGTGTATTTGCTTCGGAGCAATGTGTGCGAAAACCGGACTCGCGTACTTAATAATAGGGGGAAGTACAGCCTTGTATAAGGTCACCTTGTTCCGAAGGGACATTTTAGATGTTTTGTTGAGGAGCGGATGGAGGCGAACGAATACGAAGGCCACCCGGTTCCTGACCTGAGTGACGTTCTGGCTGAATTTAAGTTGGGAGTTAGTAGTTAAGGACGACACCTTGATATTTGACTTTGTTCACCCAAGGTACCTGGTTACTTAAGAGTTTAACGGGGGATGAAATGAACACTGTGAGTGCTGCTCGTTTTATAGCCCGTTGCAGTGTTGCAACGGGCTATAAAACGAAGTTCTGACGGTGTTATTAAAAACGAGGTAGATTATATTATAACATCGAATAAATATTGTTAGAAATAAATCTAAACATCGAATTGCAACACTGCAACGGGCTATAAAACGAGCAGCACTCACAGTGTTCGTTTCATCCCCCTTTACACTCTTAAGTAACCAGGTACCTTGGGTGAACAAAGTCAAATATCAAGGTGTCGTCCTTAACTACTAACTCCCAACTTAAATTCAGCCAGAACGTCACTCGGGTCAGGAACCGGGTGGCCTTCGTATTCGTTCGCCTCCATCCGCTCCTCAACAAAACATCTAAAATGTCCCTTCGGAACAAGGTGACCTTATACAAGGCTGTAGTTCCCCCTATTATTAAGTACGCGAGTCCGGTTTTCGCACACACTGCTCCGAAGCAAATACACCGGCTTCAGGTCATTCAGAATCGATTCTTGCGCAGAGCTACGGGAGCAACCTGGTTCATGCGCAATATCGAGCTACATGTCGATTTAGAGTTGCCCACCATCGCACAATTCCTGAAATAGGCGTCGCGTCGATACTTCGAATCCGCCGCCGCGCATCCCAATCCGCTAATCGTATGTGCCGCCACCTACAGACCCTTGCCGCTAGATACTTTCCGCCGCGATTACCGCAGACCGCGACACGTTCTCGACTTCCCTGATGAGACGACTATCTGAGACGACTATCGCCACCGAAAGGATTAAAAAACTACAAAAGCACACCAACTCAAACCGCACTCGCCGGCAAGCACGGCAAACATATACTAGGTTCCACCATGTACCTGGCAGGTTCTCCCCAGTTAATGATAGAAGCGTTGCTGGAGTTTCTTCCGCCACTTCTTCTTTCAGCGCTAACGCGTTCCGAAGTGGTAGTAATGTTAGATTTAGAAAGTCCCCCAGTCAGACAATAACTACCGATTGAGCCGAGTCCCGGCCTTCTCGGGCACTCTCGAATCGGAATGCTAAACGCGTATTGAGTGACAGCCCTAACCGAGGTCCCCTCTCGGGGACTCTTGAGTCTGGTCACTCCATGGAGCGTCCGCCCGAGCTTGGCGGCCTCCCAAACTGGTGATGATAATAGCGTGACGGCCCTCACTTAGTACCATAACGCGTAATAATAATACGCCAAGGTTCAGCCAAGGCGCCCCGCGCGTCCGGCCACCTCAAGTCCGTCGGATCTGTGGAAGCCCCTGAGGCCAACAGTGACTCATCCAGCCAAAAAAGAAGTATTCGTTTAGTGTGCTGAAGCTCTTCCCGAATTAATACCGATTGTGTCGATTACTTAGAATTATACTGGCCAATAAGTAATTTTTGAAAAAATCAGTTATTATTTTTATATCAGTTTTTATTTCTAACAATATAGTCAAAGTTGTAACCACCTTTAGTAAATTCAAAACCGGGAGCGACCGCAGGATAGTTAGTGCAACTTTTAGGCTCAACTTGTCCCGAGCGTCTTTCTTGCGACAAGTTAAGCCTATACGCTGTAAAATGATAAAGACCACGACAAAGTACAAAAATTAAGGCTTTTCAATGTTACGGGACGACTTCAGGTTGGAACTAAAGAATGGATTCGAAGAACTGGACAAATTGAACCTAGAATTCTACAGACGTCGACGAGTTTCCCACACAGATAACGGAACGCTTCAAAAAATTATGGTAAATCAACCGTGATTGCTGCTATCGCATACTCGTAAATATGTATTGTTTACGCAGTCGCACAACATAACATCAAGCTTGTACATTCGAAAGGATTATGCAGATGTATACAGTATAAATCTTGTGGTGTAACTTGACACATTTTCTTTGAAAGTTAGTAGTAGTCGCATTTTTTTTTATGACTGGAAGTTAGTTGTACATAGTATTCAAGCTTGATTTACTCAACTTAAAACTACATTTACTTGCTCTTTGGCGAAGTTTTTTGCCTAAACCTATGACAGCTCTATCCAACGTTTTACCCTGTAATTTCTGATCTGTAACTGCCCAGCCCAATATTAAGGGTAACATCCTTCGCTCTATATTTGGCGGAGTTACGCCCGAGTAAAAAGAAAACATATAAACATCATATAAAATAGAAAACATATAAACATCGGAATCGATAACCTATTCCTTTTTGAAGTTGGTTAAAATATAGACAACATGTGATTTTAATATATTTATTTCACAACATATTTTTTTTTATTTTTACCTATACAAAACACGTGGGGATTGTGTTAACATTTGGAAGCAATTGATATGAAAGATTTGCGTTTAACAAATAATCACATAAATTTATTTGTATTGTTTGTTCATTACTTTATCAATCACCTTGTAGTTGATATATATGTATGTTGTAATGCACACATAGTTATGATGTATTTTCGTATTCAAGAAAGTAAAGGTTATTTTACAAATACATACTTCCCTTTATTTACACATTATTGCTATAGGTACATTAATTATCACATTTTACTCTTCTTGCTATACCGATCAAATTTTAGTAGCACGAGAACTTTTTAAAAAGTGCAGAATTAAATTCGTAAGAGTTCTAGTGTATTAATCCATAAATGAATATAATAGACCTATTTTGCCTGTGCGGTTCTTCAACTTGTGGCAAAAGTTGTGCTTCGGTATTTACTGCTAATATTGCTTTAGGTTTATATTTAAAGAAGTAATGTAGATAGAGTTGGTCGCGGGCCACCTTTGTACATAAATATTGTTTTAATCACTAAGACTCTTTTAAAAATCCATTTAAGAAACATATAAGAACATAATCATTAGAAATAATATAATTTATTTTACTATAAGTACTATTATTATTTATTACATGGCGTGTACCATAGAAAAGTTCATATATCTGATACAATAATGATTGTCATATTGAACAAGACCGTGAACTGTGAAACTGTTCCTTCAACAGCATGCTTTTCTTACATTTAATTTATGACGTGTTAGTCTTGTTATGGTCTGTATTAGACAGAAAAACTTGCGAAACTTGTTTCCACTTTGATGACATACATGACGTGTTGCCGTTTTTTGCCTTCGCTAACTTCTGTAACAAAAATAATTTAAGAATATTTCCTTATCGTCTATGTATATATATGTTGGCAAAGAGACATCCTATCTTGAAGACTGAATACGATTAAAGAATGGTGCTGTATACATTGCCTTGTGGTTGATATGAAGCCTATTAAATGTCCGAAATAATGACGAAAGATAAATTTTTGAAAATAATTTGCTTGTCACAATATCACACTGATTTTTTATTCATGCAAGTCAATTTAATCAGTTTAAAATACGACTTATTTATATCATCGTAATGTGCAAAATTGTAAACACTCACCTGCACATGAGGGTCGGGGTCGTTCAACGTTACGTACAACGAAAAACTTAGGAACAACAACTTTAAAGTAACAGCAACTGACACCACGATTATAAATGCATATGTCATTATGTCTGATTCGTGGATATCGTTAGAAATATTAGTAAAAAATATCAGTAAATAAAACGCCGTGATCGTTGATCGGAGAACGTGAATGCGACTTACAGTAACGTTATAACTGGCAGTGTTATTTTTTTTTATCGAAACCGACTTCTCCGCTCATCGCATTAGACTCTATTAGAAGCGACAACGTTGAAAAATGAAGGTTTATTCAAACATACATTTAAATAGAGAAGTCGATTACTACATTTTTTAATCCTTTCGCGTAACTTATATGCTTCGATTTTGAAGATACGAATGCTTGGTTGCTTAATCATTTACTATGATAACGATTTAACAGATAAAACTGGGAATATCTTGTTCTTAACTTTGATACGATTTTAGCAATTTGATTGCTAAAAATAAAAGGTGAGTTCATCGTACATTTAATAATGTTTGAGACACTGCCTCTACGTCACAACGTCTTACATAATATAATAAAATTTGTTATGTTATTAGTAAAATCCTGTTGACAAGATAAAATACTTAAAATATACTGGACTCAATCCGAAATCGTCAACTCGTCAAATTGCCGTCTGTATTATGCTTTATACATGCATATCTCTGTAAAATTAACTAATCGATGTGACATTAAATATTGAAAATAAGTTCTCCGACTAAATATTTTTAAACTTTCAAAGTGCCGTTTCTAACACACAAGTAATAGGCTGAAAAAGTTTCTTCGCGTTTTATGTGAAAATTCAAAACATTTTTTAATATTTATTTACATTTAATTAAAGTATGTAGGTGCCATTTTGTTCGATAACTTTCACAACATCTTGTAGGTAGGGACATGATCCCATTGCTATAGAAATTCTGGGGCTTCTGATAAAATAACACGACAAGTGGTTTTGGCAGTCCTCTCGTGATGTTAACCTGACACTGCCTAAAGAATTCTGAAGAGACCGAAACAAGTGAAAATCTGAAGGTGCAAGCAAGGTCCGGACTATACGGTGGATGCATTGACATCTCCCAGCCAATCTCTCTTATTTTTTACTGAGTAGCTAAAGATGTGTGAGGTCTAGCGTTATCATATAACCTTCTGTTGATTAATTCCGGCCGCTTTTTCTCAACTTTTTGCTGTTGTTCGCAGTAGAGTTCAGAATCGATGGTCCTGCCTGGCGGTAACAGCTCATAATGAATAATGCGCTTCTAATCCTACCATACACACAACATTACCGTGTTGCGAGATAAGCCGGGTTTCGCCAGTCTGTGAAGCCTGACCAGCCTTTGACCACGACCTTTTTCGTACGTTCTTGTCGTACGTGATCCACTTTTCATCACCAGTTATCATATTTTTCAAAAATGGTTCGGTTTCATTACGTTGTAATAAAGAATCCCAAATGAGCACACGGTTCATTAGGTTTCTTTCGGTGAGCTCATGAGGAAACCATCATGCGCCAAAACTGTTTTGTAGTCAATTCCCAGTTCTTCAGGTACATCATAATTTTTGACCATTTTATCCGTAACAGGCCAGAGCGAGGTGCATCTTTGACATCAAAATTTCCGGATTGAAAACGCTTAAACCAAATTTGTGCTACTCTCGCAAATTTTTTTCGCGGCTTGAGTTGCATTTTTACCTTTTTAGTAGTAAAATTTTAAAATGTATCGAATTTCTTCATTAGAATCATTCATCTTAACAGTAAGAAAAACAAATGAAAATCACACATTTTCCTAATTTAAATTTGGAATTTTTAAAATTTTTAATAATACCACATATAAATGGTATAGTCAAAAAGGTTATATAATAAGTTCATACATACTATTTGCGAAAAGAGTTTTTCCCCAACCTAATATTTGACACAATTCCATTCTTAAAAAAAATCGAAGGCTTTCAAAGTGATAGTTTTTCCGTTGAAAATTAAAAATGAAACAGTATATTTTATTCCTCCTTGTTCTTTTATTTCTCTTTTTTTGAAAAGTTGTAGAGGGAGCAGGCGGTTTACCTGATTTTTAATGAATTCAACCTTGCAGATGTTCTTGCCCAATGTTCTTGGGCAAGAACATCTGCAACACCTGATGGCTTTTTATTGCGTGACACTACTACAATTAAACATTTGTCAACACTAAGCCTGCGTACCTTAAAATAAAACTATAACACTATTCATAATCAGTATTCCTAAGTAGAGTTCTCATAAACGCTTAAAGAGCTTTTTAGACAGTCGTAAAACCCGCTGATATATTTTTCAGAAAATTGGCTTTAACGAATAGAATTTTGTAACTAATCTTGAGGTAATTTTTTATGTCTCAATTTATTTTAAAAAATTTAATTTTAAGGCAAGAATGGTTATATAATATAAGCATAAATTAAAGTTTTTACATTCAATCTTTTTTGAACTTTTCCCATTCTCACCAATCAACATTCCTTTATACCTAAATCTTCTTATAACCTGTTTAAAAATAAACATATTTCTGAAATTTAATTACAACGGATAAATAAAGTAACTGCACTTATATTGATGGAAGGGTAACACTGATAAGATATTCATATCTTAGCTATTCATAGCTCCACTAATTTTGGAGATAAACGTTAAAAACCAATAAATACCAAATACTAAGACGTTGAATGATTGTTTAACAATTTCAAACTATTCGACGAGGAAAGTCAAGTCTTACAGGTATTGTACGTAGATCATAATATTTATTTGTAAGACTCTATTCTTATCTTCATGTCGAGTTTAATAAGCAGTGATTAAATGTTAATTTAAAAAATCAATGAAACTATCCAATTTTTAATTGAGCTCACCAATTAATGTTTTTTTCTAAAAATATTAATAAGGATTTTTGTAAAAGAGATGTAACGAAATAAAATTCACCATACGATAAAACAAAAAGATTTATTGGATAAATTTTCAATGTGAAATCTTAACTTTTCGTCGTCCGTCTTAAATTATTTTTGACTTTTTTTTAAATGTGCTGAACAAATACATTTGGTTCGTTAATTATACTCCCTGCGTCCATATCATTGAGAATTACATATTTTTACATTATATCCTATTTCTTTTAGATATTTTATGTATTATTTCGCGCAAAACGTACAGACGACGATTTTCAGCAAACACAGGGATTTTCCTGCATGGCCGCACTAGTAATTTGAAGGCATATATTATCCAAGTGAAAACCAAATGATATCAAAATATTAACATGGAATTTTTCCCTATCTGAAATTGCTCAACGTGTCTTTAAAAGTGTTCACTTCAAAATAAAAAAGTATTCTATATATAGAATATTTGGTGATTAACAATAATTTAATCAATTTGATATTTCGCTTTTCATGTCTGCCGTTTTCGTATGTCGTTGATTGCTCTTGAGTTGAATTCGATTGCGTTAAACAGCGGCGGTGCGCGGCGTGGCCCCGCAATGACATTCGCTCATTGTCCGCAAAACGGGCCGTGTATGCCACAAGGCTTACTCGCTTTCAAACGCTTGCATGTTTGAACAGTTGCCTTAAACACTTAAAATTTAAAAATAACGCGTAGACTATCTATACTATAACAAAAGCGTAGAATCCGCGTGTCTGTAAATTGAAAATATTTATGAAAAAATTAAATAGGGTATCATAAAAAGTGTTATAGAAAACAAAAACCATTTTTGGAATTTTTGTCTGTTTGTCCGTCTGTCTGTCTGTTCGCGATAAACTTGAAAACTACTAATCATGCAGATTTCACTGGTTACTTAAGCTAAGCTTATTCGCGAGGCGCTGTCTCTCTCCTGCAACAGATCTATGCGCATGATTTGCAGGATGCTTTTCCTAATATTAAGTCCTTACATATAAACTTAGCGTTTTTTCATACTGACCACTTTGATCTGAAATATCTCCTCTTTGGTTAAGACTACTAAATTCAAATTTATAAATTCATTCCATACCGCACCATGGAAAACATTAAATATCGGTATATTTACGAGAAGGAGTTCTACCGTGGCACCAGTGCTGCAGAAACAGTTCGAAGGATTAATGATATGTATGGCGCTGGCGTCGCAAAAGAAAGCACGGTACGTTTTTGGTTTCAACGATAATCGGAAGCGCTTGTTACAATGTCTGAACCCTGGAGACCCAGCCCAATCAAAAGCCAGCTAAACGGAAATTGACTCAGAAAAAGTTACTTGTGATTGTTTGGTGGACTAGCACCGGTGACGTTCACTACAGCTTTCCAAAATTTTTTTTGAAAATCTGGCCAAACGGTTACAGCAGACATCTATTGTCAGCAACTGCAAACCACAAAGGAAAAAATAGCTGCTAAACAACCGAGATTGTTCAATCGCTCTAGGCCACTGCTTCTTCACGACAACGCAAGACCACATACTGCACAACAAACAACCACTAAGTTAGATGAGCTACAATTGGAATGTTAACAACTCCAACAGATTACCATTTTTTATGGAATTTGGAGAACTTCTTACAAGGAAAAAAAATTAACTCCGATGCGGCATTTCAAACCGCCTTCAAAGAGTTTATTGATTCTCGCCCCCATGTTTTTTTTAGTAAAGGAATCAATGAACCTATGAGAACCTATGAGATGGCAAAAGTGCATAGATAACAAATTAATTTATTTTACTAAAAAAGTGACTTTATATTCCTCCCGTACACAACGCCAATTTCATATGTAAGGACCTAATATTTGTATTGCCCTGCGAATTTATTCTACGCTCCCCACTACAGCTGAAAGCTGTGAGCGAAGTTTTAGCAAACTAAAACTAATTAAAAATTATTTGCAATCTTCTATGAGCCAGGAACGCTTATCGAGTCTTGTAATCTTAGCGATAGAAAATCGAATTGTACACGAGTTAAATTATGACAAGGTCATAGATTTATTTGCTGAACAAAAAGCTTGAAGAGTAAAATTGCAATTTCAATTCACAAATATTATATTTGATTTGATTTTAATTTTATTATGCATATTTTTATTTTAAATCCTATTCTGTGCTGTGTATAAAATATAATTATATCCTACACGTTTATGTCTATATAT